TCAAGTAAAGTTGGAGTTTTTCCACATTCCCCTTTTACCACTTGGAGATGTGCCATAGGGGCAAGTAAACTTCAATTTATAGAATGTATTGGAGATGCTCTAAACCCTAAAATATTCAAATGAATATTCTTAGCTAAAAATTACCTAGCAATCATATGCTAATGTGTCGTACTGAATTGTCTTTTATTCTCTCAATAAGTGGGATGCAGAAATATCTTCATCGATGAATTTCGGTTTCATCATTTTCCTTTGTTTATTTATTTATTTTTTAAACCATTTTCCATTTATTTATAATTCCTCATTTATAAGAAGTGACATTTTTTGATACTTTGTCACTAACGGTACTATGCGGATTAATTTTATTTGAAGTATCATGTTAAATTATACAATTGAAAATGAGTACAAAATATTGTATTAATGTTTTCGATATAACATGCTCTATGATACATTGCATGATTGCAACAAACCTGCCATTAGAGAATATGCTAATGATAAAAAGCTCCAAGATTGTAAGTCCAATTGCATGTCGTACAACATCCATCTCGTTGGCATCTAGACGAGGACGGATTCTTCACTTCCTCCAAGAAGAAAGAGCAAGAATATTGAAAAGGTCATTAATGATGAACTTGCTGAGTGGCTCTTTATGTATTTAAACAAGTCATCCCTTTCACATAAGCTTATTTTGGACCGACATGGCTGAGTCTTAGTCATAACTTGTTATAGCATTCGCATCTAGGAGGACACGCTTGAATGGTAGTATGTTGGAACTTTTCAAAATTGAATTCTATTCTATCAAGTTGCATCCATATTAGTATTATTATAAATACAACAATGCAAAAATGTGACAAGAAAAAATCACACAACAGTATTTTAGGTCAAATCAAATAGACAATATATGGTATCACAACAAGTTGAAGACCCATAAAATATTTCTTAATTAAAAAAGTGATAATGCTCCACAAAAAGGGAAAAAAAACAGAAAATTGAAAGAGTACAAGTTATTTAGGACAAATCAAACGAAAAAAAAAATTTTTTTTGGTCTAAGTTGTTCTTTTGGACATTGGCATTATCCACAGGCCGATTTGCTCCAACCCTATATAAATTTCTACTTAATGCATGGGTTTTTGCCTCAATAGCCAAATCTTAACTTTCAGACATGTCAACTAAGTTTATAGTGCCAACGTTTTTTGCACTTTTTTTTGCTACATTGTCAGCAGTCCTTTATCCCATAATGTTTCAGATGATGATGAGCCAAATGTTTTGTCATCCTCTATCATGTATCCAATCCAAGGGGCTGCTGACCTCACTTCGTCGGCGAATTGCCACACTGAAGACTGTTGGCATGTTGTGGATGTCGAGGCAGATGACCGTTTGAAAACCCGCAAGTAAACGGGATCGTGATCAAATAATATATTAATGTGTAAAGTGTCGAACCCCACGAGAATTACGTATTTTATCGAGTTAAAGTTAACAATATTCTTAATCGAATAACAATAATAATTTGTAATAAATTTATGTCTAATTTATCACGTACCACAAATCAAAATAAAAGTTTATCAAAATTCTGAGATGCATTGCTAAGATATAAAATCCCCATTGCTAATCCATTTTTAGTACAACAATTAAAATAATTCTTTGTTATCATGCAAGTTGGTCGAAATTTCAAATTTATTTGAAAGTTTTTCTCGATAGAAATTAAATCTAATCATATATGTGACATTTCCATATCTCTATAAAAGATATATCAATATATAAGAAAGCATTAAACGAGCAAGAACATCTAAAAAAACCATGCGAAACATAGATGTATATATTTCTATCATCTATCGAACATCACAATACTTATTACTATGTGGTAACAATTCTATTATCTCTCTCGATGATAATAAAATCCACAAATAATTCAAATAATGGCCAATTAATTGAAAAACTTACTAAATCATAATAAACATCCAAACATTCAAACAAATTAACGTCAAAATAATTAATTAATGCTAAAAATTTCAAAATAAGGGTTCATTAATACCTTAACAATGTAAAAATTTAGCCTAACATAATATTGAAATTAAACATGCAAAAGTGAAATGATATTACCGAAAATTAATGAAACGTGAACAAATTTGGAATTAATTGAAGCTGTCTTTGTTTTTCATATATATATATATATATATA